ATGAAAGTGTAGGAGGATCCATTGTGTTGCTGGGGACTTCTGTGGAAGCCACACCTCAAACAAACCAAAAAAAAAAAGCACATCCCTCTATCCCTACAGAGCATTCCCCCTGGGCTTGTTATTTGGTGTATAGATTCCAACCCAACTAATGACCTAATCAGACGTGAACCCTGAACACGGGGATGATGGGGTTTGATTAGTTTCTCATTCTTCACCAAATAATCTCTGCTGCTTTTGAAGTCTTTCATCCAACTTCTTTTATTTAGTGTAATTCCTCCCTGTTAACTATTCTCCTCCCTTCCCCTCAAAACCAACCAACCCAACCGCACTCAAAATCTCAGGCTATTTCAGAGTGAAATTCAGTATTAAAAGTTCTTCCCAATTTATTTGGTTTAACTTTTTTGTCCTTTTGGACACGCCCTTCCAGAGCTGATGTTTTATGGAGCATCTCCTTGAGCAATGGACATACTGGGCTGGGTCAAGCCTAAAAGCAGAAAAACCTTCAGAATCTGAAAGGGGTCTTGCTTCAAATGTTAAAATGCAATGTTAAGTCCCCTTCCAAATGGCTACATAGCTTTCTGGGGGGATCTGAGACAACTTTCTTAGTGAAGCTCTCTTCAGTTCATCTTCAATGTAAACTTTAATTTTCATGTTGACCTTCTTTGCTTCAGCAATACTTTGTCTTCCACCTCCTGATATCCCCCATGGATCCCATACTGGTCAGAGTGAACAAGAGTTTTCCTTTGGCTCAGCGGTAACTTACACATGTGACCAGGGCTTCTCTCTTATTGGAGATGCCTCCATTCATTGTACAACGAAAGATAATGTCAATGGAGAGTGGAGTGGGCCTGCCCCTGAATGCAAAGGTTAGTAGCGTCTGTTTTTATGCCCTTCTTGTTCTACTATCTCCTCCCAGGAAAAACTGTATTTTGATTGCTAAGTAAACCCATAAACCTGAGGAAATTCAGTTCGTGCTTAGTCCCCCTAAATACGGATCATGAAAACTAGTTACTGTTGGAAAACTAAAGAATGACGGACACTTCATAAATCACTCCTGGAAACCATTTTTGCCTCTAATCCATCCTGTATTTTTTGTCTCCCTTCAGCGTTCCAAGGTTGCAGTTAATTCTCATATCACAAAGAGTTGATTTTAACTAAGGTTTTCCTTTTATGCCAGTACCCTACTACTCGGTGCTAAAGGGGAAGGAGAGAGAGAGAGAGCCTTAGAAGCAGGATTGTTTGGGTACCATATTTTTCAGAACTCTCTGGGAGGGCTCCTTGGCAGTGAAGGCTCAGGCCTCTGTGAGTTCATCTCACAGCCATAATGTTCCTAGGAGGGGGAAATAAAGGTCATTGTACAATCCTCATTTGGGCGACCAGTGCTCACGCACACTATTGCATTTAGTTAAAAATGCATTTATGTACTTGGTATTCAAGCAGCTGCAACAACTTGGTTTTATTCTTGCTGAGTTACCCGGCGTAACAGCTGGGATGGAGGCTTTTTCAGAGGCATTAGGCAGGTTGGTCACCTCGCTACTTTAATATTAACTCTCCCAAAAGCGGGGAAGTTTGGTTCCAGAATGTCATTGTATGTAGATCTCTTGACCCAAATTCTTGATGGCTTGATACAACGATGATGTTTAACTCGTACAGTGTACTGGATGGGGATGGGGAGGGGGCCTGATAGTCTACATACAGCACAGCACCCAACTGTATGGGTAACATGTTCTTAAAGGGAAAGATCCAAACTTGTATAACTTTATTTTAAAATACATGTTGGTACCTGCTGTAGTCAAGTATCAGGCTTTGCATG